TAATTGACTCTACCATTGGAGGTATATACATTCAATTCAACTCATTTCGCGAGGTGAAACGCGTAAAAAGCACGAGTGACGCAATTTTCGTGATGCAAAACCTCGACGCACAAAACGTGCGCTACCGTAATCCCAAATTCAGACACCGCGTTGATAAAATTCCTTTTTCCTTCCAAGAGTTTTTCCTCTGCGTTTTTGTTGTTTTCTTTTTGTATTCTTTTTTGTATTTTTGTAAGCAGCTATCCATGAGACTTTTATCGCGGGAGCTGTCTTTAAGCGATGGCATCCACGAACTGTCCAAAAACTGGCAAGGATCTCTCAATAACATTGCTGTATAATTTTGATCTTGTACGCCTCTCTGTAAAAAGAAAGTCTAATTTGAAAAAATGTGACAGAACTTTCCCGCCAACCTAATATCTTCAGGGTGTGTATCGTTGCTATCGAGAAATAAACGAAGTTAAAGACATACATGGTCATGTCCTCCTGTTCTCGTGAAAATCGACTCCTCATCCGTCTTAGAATATGCCGACGTCCAGTTTCACCATCGGCTGATAATTCATTTCGAAGCATCTTATGCAACTCCGGGTTCATGTGCTTGGGACATTTATTCATAGTGAACAATTTGGCGAAGGCCTGAAATAAGAATAGTAGGGTAAGTCACAACTTGTTACGTCACAGTTATATTACTGGAGCAGTTACACTACTTAACTTTTGTATTGCCTTCAATTACCGTTCCCGAAATTTGATCAAAATTCGTGAAGCTATTAGAATAACGAATTCTATAATAGCTCCATGAGAAAGTCCACAAATTTTTCCAAGAGCTAGAAATTGAATTGCCTAACTACATGACGTTGAGCGTGAGACTTCTCGTTATAATAATAGTAATATTGTCATAGTAGTAATTTCTCTCATGGAATATGTGGATGAAAAAGCCTTGGGAACTTCCTATCGGCGGTGTAGGCATGGTACCCTGGAACCGTGCAACTCTGTTTCCATTCGGGAGTTTGAAGGAAACAATGAGAAAAAGGGGTTTTCTCCATGAAAAAGGCGAGAGAACTCCAAAAAATTATGATCAGTTCGAATTTCCACCATGAAGCCCCCATCATTTTTTACTGTGGAGAGCTCTCAATTATTTCTTGACGTGTTGTCGCCCAGAATCCGGTGGGCGTTTATTCTGCGAAACT